ATGAAGAGAGTTCTCCGTTATCTCAGCGGCACCGCCACTCACGGTATCTACCTGACTCGCTCCTCGACAGACTACCTCGACAGACTATCTCCAGGCTTATTCTGATGCTGATTGATCTGGGCGACAACCTGATTTCCTGGTCTTCAAAACGCCAGGCCACCACTTCCCGCTCCAGTGCAGAGGCAGAATATCGGGCTGTGGCAAATGCAGTTGCTGAGACTTCTTGGGTCCGAAATCTTCTTCTTGAGCTCCAGCAACCACTACAACGCGCCACCCTCGTCTTCTGCGACAACGTCAGCGCTGTCTATCTCTCATCGAACCCAGTTCAGCACCAGCGCACCAAGCACGTTGAAGTCGACATACACTTTGTGCGAGACAAAGTAGCACTCAGCCATATTCGAGTCCTTCACGTGCCCTCTTTTTCACAGTATGCTGACATCTTCACCAAAAGGACTACCTTCTCTACTTTTCCTCGAGTTTAAGTCCAGTCTGGGTATCAGACCCCCTCCTCATCCGACGTAGCCGGGAGCATGTTAAATATATTCTATATTTAATGTAAATATATTGTTTCCTATTATTGTCTCCTACCTTGTATAGGATTAGGAATATATTGTGTATATATAGACATGTACTCCCACATATTCAATCAATGAAATTAACCTTTCTACAATTTTATAATATTATTGACTCGTTTACTTAGCAATATTTGCTCATATTATTTTCAAACTAATGAGTGCAAAGAGTCAATGCCTCCATCTCCGTTAGAGTTCGAACTAGAGTGAACTTCTTCATAAATTTTGATGAGTGGTTTTCTTATTACTCAATGTAGACATCAAAGACATGTAGATTTATGTAACGTGAAAATTAGATTGACATTGTTAAATGGCCACCTTTACCCATCCATCAGTCTGAATTACTCTGCACCAGGCCGGCCACCATCAATCGCCTCTCCATAGGGCTGCNGAATGGCTTTGGGGGAAGGGCAAGTAGGATATACGGAATTTTACATTAAATACTCCCTAATAAAATAGAGCATGCCTCAAAATTTATATTTCATTTGAACACCAAATGTATGCATTAATATTTTAATGTTTCATACTGACTCAAATTATTGGTGCGTTAATAAGAATTTACACTTATACATACACCAACACAAAAGATTGGTGCACCCCTGCGGTGTACAAAATGGAAAACAAATCTTTGGGGTACAAATAGCTTTACCCTAATAAAATACCAAGAAAATTATTGTTGGATAACCAAAAAAATGAAAACAAGAAAAAGTATCACAATTAACTTTTTTTGGTTAAACTGTACAATATTTTGACCATAAATTAAATATAGTTTAAACTAATTAAATGTTATGTTGTCAAAAAAAAATTAAATGTTATAAAAACTTGAGATATCAAAACTATATTTTAAAATGAATCTAATTTTACTAAATTAACATTATAACAAAATATATTTTTCTTAGAATTTGTGGTCAAAGTACCAAAAAATTTAAAATGTACGTAGTAATAATCTTTTTGGGACGTAAGAAGTACTCTCTAACTACTCTCTTATAAAAATCTTCTCGCTTTCTTTTTATATTTGGAAAAAATAAAAATAGATGTAAAAAATAACAAAAATGGTAAAAATAACTAAAATCACACAGAATGAATGAAATGAACAAGGTAATTAATAGAAATTAAATAGAAACTTGTAAAAAATAAAATAAAAATATACAGAGTGTTGGATTTTAATATTTCACGCACTATACAAAGTATTAATTTACCGATTCTTATTTTTAAGAAAAATTATCTAGATTAATCCCAACATTACCGATTCTTTCAAAAAATAAGTAGTACCTTAATCTCTGTATATTGCATAAAATGTTAGAACCCTCCACTCATGTTTCTATTTTATTTCTTACCAGTTTCAGTTAATTTCTATTGGTTACCTTATTTATTTCATTAAGTTTATATCATTTTAATTATTTTTCTCATTTTTGTTATTTGTAATATCTATTTTATTATTTTTCTAATGAAAGACTAATCTTTAAAGAAAGAAAAAGAAATGGAGGTAGAAAGTAATTTCAAATAAATTAAAAATTCATAAAAAGTAATCCCAACTTTCATTTTGTTGTGCAAAAGAGGACGTTTCCGTTAACCCACCATTTACAAATTAACGACGACCCATAACTCACTAATTTCAGTAAATTTGAGATTATTATGCATCACAATGAAATGTGAGATTATTTTTGAAAAACTGCGTAAAGTTGTGATTCTTCGAGATAATTTTTCCTTACAAATCTATCAAAACAACTTCACTTTGGATTTCAAAAGTCATACTATTTTCCAAGATTTTAAAACTCATATGAAATCATACCTCTAAAACTTACTCAATGGGCCCTAAATTTTGAAATTGGAATCTCATATAAAATCTTATTTTTTAAAAAGAATTAGCCTAGGGATACACGAACATGGGATACCCCATTTGTACACCAAGTTAACACAAACACACACAGACACATAATGTGTATGTGCATGTACAAATATTATGTATCTGTGTGTGTCTGTATTAGTTTGGTATACAAATGAAGTACACCTAATAATGCCCTTCTAAAAAATAAGTCATTGAGAAGAGTTTTTAATTCAATGTTCTTAATAAATTGCTTCATTTAAAAAAGGTGATGACAAAGTTATGAAATGTACTATCGAGTAGTTTTCTTTTTCAAAAGAATTACTTAGTGAAGCAATCGTATTTTAGTTAAAAACTTCTTTTAAGTAATTTTGACAAAAAGTGCTCTTAATAGGCTATTTATTAGTGGTTAATTAAATTAAGTACACAAAATTCTATAAAAAGAAAAGGCACACAAATTAGGATATTTTGTTAATGATGGATGATGATGAATACTACGTATATGATGCCCGACAATCAATGAATTTGATAGCGGACATGATTACAAATAGAAGCTGCCAAGTACGGCGTATGTTGGATTGGCATTCTCCAAGTTCATTGTACTAAGACTTATTCTAAACAATGACTAAATAAAGAAGTCCTCCAAAACACATGTCACCTCCGAGTCCCTACCCATGTACGACTGACTACTCTTCCCAATTTCCCAAATTTTGGCCGCTTCTAGGCGACCGCCCGTGCAGAACTTATAATGCTCTCCCCAAGTATACTTTTTTAACGCCTAATTAATGAATGTGGAGAGATGAGGCTAGATAGAATTCCAAAAGAAGTTATTCGAGGTCGAATAGGTATGGCGCCAGTGGAAGATAAGCTTCGAGAAGTTAGGTTGAGGTGATTCGGTCATGTGAGATAGCAGAATGCTGATGCTCCTGTGCGGAGATCTGAGACGCTTATGTTGGTAGGATGTAGGGGAAGGGGTAGACCTATGAAGAGTTAGAAGGGGGTGATTAGATAGGACTTAAGAATTCTTGCTCTTACTGAAGATATGGTCTTAGATAAGAATGTTTGGAGAGATAAGATCTGAGGCTGGGTAGGTGCCTTGAGCTAGAGAGTGTTGTTTATGCTTAGTACTTTTAGCTATTTGCTTGCAATACTCTCGTTTCGTAACTTTATTTAAGATAGTTTAGTTTAATATAATTATGTGTTTGATGCTTAATTGCGTTGTAGCTGTGATTTCCTAATTTTATGTATCCATTGTGATCTTTTTATGTGCAGCTTGGGCTGGAAGTCTCATGGAAACAATCTTTAATTTTGGATAGGGTCAAGGTCTGCGTACACACACCCTCTTCAGACCTTACTCTCATAAAATTCAACTGGGTTATTGTTATCTACAAATTAAAATGAGAAGTCTTTTTTGAGTCTAAAGGGATATTTATTATGGGTCAATGTGAGTAACAATTTGAGTAAAAAATCCAAATGATTTTTTTTTTTGAGACAGGATAAACCGCAAGATATTTTAAGCAACAAATAATTTTTCTAAAATGCCATATAAATGTAAAACACATAGCGAGAATGCTGAGTTGTCCCACTCGGGCGAAAATGGGAACTAAAAACGGTTTGACTGAGCAGCACAAGCACACCGCACACCACCACTGCTGTCCGTACTTCCGTCCCCCAAATTAAATATTTAAAATTTTGACTTTTGAGGTCAAATTCCAATCACAAATAATGAAAAAAAATATAAATTTAATATAATTGAAAATCAGTTTAAAATATAAATTCACTATCTATTTACTTAAAACTATACGGAGTAGTTAATAATGGGGGGCCGTACGATGCGTTGTTTCACTGCAGCCGTACCAAAGACCACCGTGGTGGAAGACGTACATTTGTATGAGAGCACATATGACAACTAATGGACAAGTCCTTCCCTCATCTTCTCAGTCTTTCTCCTACTACAGACAAAATACTCTCTCACTTCCATTCATATATAGACACTCTTTAACTCTTTAGGGTAGGTTTCTTTCACATCTTAATGAACAGCCTGTTAATAAAAAAGATTCAACCTCAAAAATGAATTTTGAATGCATGCCTTCACTTGACTAAGTTTAACCCATGTCCACCTCTAGGGGTGAGCCATTCTGACATACAATGCCTTAGAATTTGGTGGGTGGTTCCTTTGTGCGTATACTCTCGCATGATGATTACGGTGGGGGGAGAGGGGGGGTAAGGTCTGCGTCCACACACCCTTACTAGGGTTATGGTTCCTTGGAAACAGTCTCTGAACTTTCGAGTTGAGGTAATGACTTCATACACACAAGTACCCTCCGTAGACCCTACTTTTTTGTGGGGTTTTACTGGGTTTTTGTTATGGTAGAATGTTGTCATAATCGACTTGACCATAGGTACTTTTTGTGTGCTAAACTTGGATTACACAAGGTTTTAGCCTGCTTAAGCCTAAATTAGTTGCTAAGAGATTCCTAAAGCAGGTTGGTCTAACTGTATTTGATACTCCGTATTTCTTTGTGTGATTCCTAAAATGGACAACGGGTTAAACTACTTTTTCCCTCTTGGGCATTTAATGCAAAACTTAATCATGGGTTATTTGAAAGATGCAGACTTTATTAAAACAGTACAAAAAAGTACAAGTGTCAATTTGAAACATGCAATGTATAGGAGTACAGTTTTGGGTACAAAGGGATTATATGATGTGATGTGCACCCTGTGATAGTTTGGTTTTGCTTTGTACTACCTTATTTATGTACATTTATATAGCGCATCCAGGTTGTATACTCTCTCTCCCCATTGAAACTATGTGACTGGCCTAAGCATTTACAGCTATTTTTGTTTGAGGTGATAGTACCCGTCCAGCAGCTTTTCTGTGTACTCTCCAAAAGTCAAAGAGCCATCGGAGGAGGCAATCAGCTACGAATAGATTAATAACGAAAGATTAGAAAATGAACAACGCCCGGAAAGAAAATCATAAGGGCAAATCTAATTTAATATCAGACTTTGACACCAAAGTTTGACATCATGTCTTTAATAGACTTGCATAAACAATGACTATCTTTGCGGCCCAAATATTGACCGTGTGTCTATATGAAACACATCATGACTTCAAACCATAGTGTCAAACTTGGTGTGACTGTAGTAGATCCCAAATCTCAACACTCAATGTGTGTACTAAATCTGAGCTTCAGAATAATACTGAATATTCAAGAATGGGAAAAATCAAGAAGTCTGAAAAAAAGTTAAAAAAAAAACGTAAAATGAAAGTAGATTCAAATTTGGGCTTCTTTTGAGTTTCCTGCATATGGTAGAGGGAAATCCATGGGTGTGTAGATGTGTACGGCTAAAGAGTTTGTAGTTTTCCTGGGAATAACTATGTGATTTTAGTTAAGCACGGAATTATAGGACCGGCCTTCCACTCCTCTAGTTACATTAGAGTGGAAGGCTGTTTTATCATTCATTTTACAAAACAAAGTTTGTTTTGTTCTAGAGTTGTGCTAGAGTCCCCCAAGTGTGCCTCCAACCTTGTTCCTCCTCATCCTTTTCTTCCACACAGCCAGACCTAATGTTTGGGCGTGTCTGTGTGAAGGAGAATGATAAGGTTAGGGCCACATTTGGGCACAACTTAGCTTCTTTTCATTCAATGTTGCGAAAAACATTAAATACTATTTTTCCAACTTTATTCATGTCTTGATCTGGAGTGTAACTATTAAAGGATAAATAGTCATGTTGCATCCATGATTCCATATTTACGCCTATTATCCCAGTAAATGATATTCTTAATCAATGTGTCTAAACATAAAACGAACAGCTGATGGAATGAAACATAAATAGTAAACTTATGCCTAACACATACCTCCTTGTGAATATGTACCACATCTCGGAAGTTGAGCTTCTCGTCCCTAAAATTAATCAAATTGTCACAATCAAGTACTAACATGTTAAAGATAAACCAACATATAAAATACTCCGTATTGGACTACTCTTCCTATTTTATTAAAGTTCTAGAACAGAAATGCAAGTATGCTAAGTCATCCCACATCAATCAAATATAAACATAAAAACTAGCATATTAGGGGTCTTGGGTGAATCTCCTACGGGGTTGACTTTTTAGGATGAAACCTCAAGCCTTGATATAACAATTCATCATGACTAATAAACTTAAACATTATTCACAAATCAGTATCAATTCGCAAACTCAATCATTTTCTTCTAAAGAACTTAAAAGGCAAGTCATCCTAAATGACTGCATAAACTTCATTACACGTTCTTATGACTTATTATATCACCAAGTTGATGAGTAACAGCTGGAAACCAAGCTTTTGAGAAAGGGAAAAAGAAATCTCGACAATATTGTAAACAACTAGTTTGGATTTTGCCAAAACATACCAATCTGGCTGCATGAACAGTGCAAATGTTGAGCGATCAACACCAGATGCTTCCTTCCCTTTTGGTGCCTGTGAGATCATAATATGCACATCCATTTAATATTTATGCAGAATAAGTTGGCCACAAACAGAATCAGTTAGATTCAATCAAGATATATAGCTGCATCAATAACTGCTATTACTACAAAGTCAGAAATATATTCCCCGGGGATGGGGGTGGGTGGAGAAAGTGAGAAGCAGAGTAATTTGAGCACTTTATCATGTAATTTTGACACTTTTCCATCACTTCCTAGGGAAACATTGAAAAATACCCGGACACAATGTGGTGTTGCACAGAGTTGACCTCTTGACAATATCTCGGTTATCTCACCAATTTGGTACGCTATTTCATCTTCTCCAAATTCCACCTAATAAAGTTCAAAAACAGAGAAGTAGAACTATCACTATAAGCATATTGCCATAATGATAATATATAGATGACTTCCGAGTTCCGAAGTTGAAATGCAGCCAACTCCAACTGTATTGCAATTAAGGATTAGCCTGGTTCAGAACTGATGTGCATACGATTTTGTTGAAATTAATTAGGATTAACAGTTGCTTAACAAAATACGATATACATATGGAATCACTATGTTTAACAGTTCGTAAAGGAATCATATTGCACATTTCATTTAGTATCAATTTTCTCATATAAAGTGATCGATCAGATGCATTCTAATGGATAGAATGCACAAGACTATGCTAAAAGACACATTATACTCTCATGCTTGCCATTCACATAAGTTGCACTTTATGCAAGTTATGGCCTGTTTCTAAGAAACTTATGTCCTTCTTACAGCCACTAAGACTAGAGCTATATATCTAATCAAATTTCTTTGACATTGTGATCTCTATAGTATGCCATGACCATGTAACAAAAACCTAACAAATTATATATAAACACACACACGCGCGCACACATTCAGGAAACCTTTCATTTTCTTTAATAGCCTGTTCATTTTAGCATTCCATATAAAGACCAAATAGGAACAATGCCCTCCAATTATCATCCATAGTTTGATCACACGTTTGTAGGAAGGTGCTATTTTAATGCACTTTACACACTTGTATTCATATACTTTATATATGTCAGGCATATAGAATGTTCTGGAGTTTTTCGCATCAGCAAATTAATGAAGTATTTGTACAATAGACAAGAGGAATGTAAGCAATTAGGAAGTGCGAATGCAGGGATACAAACACGCATATAGAACCCTTCATTTTCTATATCACAAACTCACAACACACAAGCAAAGGAAGACATACTTTGACTATTTGACCAGCACGAGTTTTTATGTACAGGCCAGCATCAATATCAGGGCAAGGCCTTTCTACAGCATTTCTTGTAAATATGCCACATGTAAGACCTACATGTTGATTTCTAGCAGTAATTAGGGTAAATTAATGTACATAAGGTGAGTAAAAATAATAACAGTATATGCTGAATACATAGCCAAAATGGAAAAGATTAACAGGTCCAAAAATGAAAACGTGAGGAGTCTATAGATTCGATTACCTGTTAGCGAACCATGATCAGTATGCCAACCACACCAAGATGACATGGATTCATCATCTTGGGAACAACTACTGATAAAATAGTGGAAAACTAAAGATTAAATTGTCAATATAGAGATATCAAATCCAGGTTCCTCTTCCCTCTAAAACAGTGTAGTAAGAAAAGAGGTAATGTAAGTATCGCAGGTATTTTTATACTCTTCCATCAATATATTATGGCAGGAAAAAAATAGTTGGATGTTGAAAGAAACTAGAGGGGATTGGAAGAAACTAGAAGAAACTAGAAGGAACTCTAAGAAACTGTAAGAAACTAAAAAAAACTGAAAGAAATTGGAAAAAACTGGAAACAACTAGAAGGAACTTCAAAAAGTTATTTAAATATATTTTACATCTCATTCTTATTATAATTGTTGTTGTTTTTGCTATTATTAAACTTATTATTATTATTATTACTATTTCTATTATTCTTATTATTAATATTATTATAATTATCATATATAATAGGTAAAGAATGTGGATAAAATTGGACCACATGAATAGTGTACGTGCCATTTAATTATGGATAGAGGTAATAGTATAATTATTATTTTTAGTTTAAAGCATTGATGTTTTTCCCAAGTCAATTTAGATTAATAAAATATTCCTAACTCTTAGAACACCATTTAGTGTCATGTGAATTAAAAACAAAATTGTACTCTGTATTATTGATATTAAAAATGAAAAAATAATACGAGTAATGAGTGTGAATAAAAAAAAGTGAAATGGGAAAAAATAAAAATTTGAAAAATAAAATATAGTTATGAACATTATAATAATAATAATAAAAATAATAATAACAACAACAATAATAATACTAATAGTAATAATAATAATAATAATAATAATAATAATAATAGTAATAGTAAGAGTAAGTTCACAAAGGTGGTCCTTTCTAATAAGGCGTTTTCCCAAATTAGTCCTCAATAAGCAATAATTATCAATGTGGTCCTTTGTAATTGAGATGTATTCCCTAAATAATCTTCTGTCAAAAATGCCTATTAAACGACTATGAAATGGAGGGTATTTTTGTATTTTCCATCATCTAAACTATGAATAAGTCTTAAAAATGGTCCTTTCAAATTAAGTGGTAGGCTCATGGACTCTATTTTGAAAAAAACATTTACTTAAAAATTATCAGTTCGGAAAAATACTTAATTATAAAGGAGCATTTCGAGAACATACTTAAAGTCTAGATGATAGGAAATACCAAAATACCTTCTAATTGACTAAAATCTAACAGACATTTTCAACTGAGGACTATTTAGGGAATACATCTCAATTACAAAGGGCCACGTTAGTAATTATTGCTTATTGAGGACTAATTTGAGAAAACATTTTATTAGAAAGGACTATTTTGGGAATTCATTCTAATAGTAATAACAATAATATATAAAAAACACATTTTTAGAGTCATTATTTGGGAAATAGAAACGGCAAGAAACTCGAAGGAATTGGAAAAAACTAGAAGAAACTGGAAGGAACTGAAAAAAACTGAAAGAAACTGAAAGTTAAGAGTTTAAGCTCTAAAGAACATGGTCTTAATCTAATTTTTATGCTAACCAATACTCCCTCCGTCCCTAAATAAACTTCACTTTTATTATTCACAAAGTCAAGCTATATCTTTCTTCCCTACCTATTTATGTTAATCATATGTTAAAATAATATAGTGAAGTGATTAAAGTCACATCTTGTTTTATAGTAGAACTTTTGATCTAGCTTTTAAATGCAGAGTATATAGATTTTATTTTAATCACTTCACTATATCTTTCTCCCTTACCTACACCAATATTTAAATAAATTAAATTGAAAATAACTTCAGTCAAACTTGTGTGAGATGGTCCATGTTCATAACTAGTGCAGAAGAGAGAACAAAATTTAACATGCATTACCTTTGCTGGGAAGGGAAATAGTAAAGCAGCCTGCCTTTATGACATCTAGATTGAAAAAGAATTTGTTCAAGGCCATCATTTTCAGTTGGTGTTGTCCTGAGGGATACTGCACAAAGTAGTACTCTTAAGTAAATGGAACTAAAAAATATGTACCAAATGAAATCTAATATTTGAATACTATGTCATTCAAGTGAATTATCAGCAGCAATTTGAAAGAAAGTAAAACATCAGCCAAAAAGATAAAAGCAAACTTATAGAGCAAGACAAGAGCAGACAAGGGAAGACCCTTGTATGGGTGAGTAGAAAAGGGATTATTCAAGGTGTTAAAATGTGCCAAACTCACCATCCAATCCATACAGACACAAAGGTTTTGTTAAGGATACAATTACTCAAAACAAGCACAAAACTAGTTGCAATGTATCTCATGTTTGGAATTTAAAGCTGCAACATTTTTCATTAATGGTGAGATAAACTGGCACACAATGTATTACACTATTACATGCTGTCCATAAAAAGTAAATGTGAACCCATCCACCTCATGTTTATTCACTAGGGGTCAAGTGGCCATACTGTCATGCAAGTCATGGACAATGAAATATGATTGAACATTCATACAGTATACAAGAGAGTCCATATATACAGCTCATCGCAGGGAAACAGAAAGGATAAGGGATAAAAGAAAAATCTCATTCATCCCCTCACAAAAAGGAAATGGAAAGAGAAGCAACTTAGGCATTAAGAATTCACCATAGCTGTCACAGTGATGAGCCAATAACAACCCAACATCAAGAATCATCTTCCCCAGCGCTTTAAAAGCTGCATAGTGAATATAAAGATTCAGCAACCACTAACTCCAACTGAAGCTTGTTAACTGGGTATGATTTCGTGCGTTAGTAACTTAGTACAATATTGAATCTATTTATTAAAACAATTTGATGGAAAACTACAAATGCAATATTGAGTACGGAGTATATTATAATCTATTTTTTTATATGGAGTATTTATAATTTTATTAAATTAACGGGTTGGTTGAGGTCCACTTGTTACTAAATATTTGGAGCCGGCCCGCTTGTTTTGCTTAAGGGCCCACCCCTCCCCGCCTCGCCCCATTTTCAAATGTAAAGTGTTATATCCACCCCTAACTCGCCCCGAACCTTGTGGTTCGATTTGACCCGTGGTTCTAAGACACATTAGCCCACCTCTACAAGTGAGTACTGACGCTCTATCAATGACATCAAATGTGGTAAAAAAATCAATTTGCAATCTAATATCAAGCAAATTCATGCTTGAAATAGACAACAAAAGTGCAATGCTAAAACTCAAATGTTGAATTTATAGATAAAATATACCAATCTCAAATTCTGGCAGACTGGTATGAGGCCATATATTTGGTCCACAATAGGATGGATATCTAGGATGGACACAGAGGAAAAAAACTATTAAGAACAGGGAAAAAATCATAATCTTTAGCAATGCCCCAATATGAAAAACTCTGCCCTGTCCTATTTATAGGACATGATTTTAACTATCACACAAACCAATGATATAATTAAGATCATTTAAAATATTGATTTTAATTATACTATAGATCATTAACAATTAAGGCTCTTCATTTAATAGGGACAACAATGGGAAAATAGAATAAATATGCATTGATAATTTTAAAATGACTTCTATTTAGGACCATTCTAAGTGTCCTATAAATAGGATACGTGGGAATACATAAAGACAGAAACTCAAAAATTATAGGTATATATTTCACAAATTTGTTGCAGTAAAGTTAATCAGAGAGCTGACTGAGTGACTATGTATGCATATGCTGAAATGTGAAGACAAGTTCTTAACCGTTTAATAAGGGATGGATCAGTTGTTGGCACATCTAGCACTGGATTTGCATAAAAGGATCCTTTCAGTGTATCTGCATAATAAACAATAAGCAGATGCAACAAAGTTTAATGCAGCATTGATTTCACCCAACCAAAACATCTTTCGAAAGACAGTAAACACTAGTCATGATACGTGTCTAGCAAAAACCAGGTTAAAGTGTTGAGCATAACTTCACTCGCATATCAATTTATTGAAATTGGCCATAACATCAGGGATGAGTGCATGTGTCTGTGAGTGTGTATGTGTAACAGACTAATGAAATAATATTTGAAAATGAAAATCATTATTTCATACTGATTGAAAATGAAAATCATTATTTCATCCCAGCATGTGTATATCTTTAAATTTGATATATGAACAAGCTGAAACAATTATAAAAATTCATGTCACTTCATATATTTTATTATAGAAGAGACCAGATGTCCCCTTTTTATTGAGAAATAATCCTAGTTCATTCAAATTCTATGACAACTGATTACATTGGAGATTCTTCCATCTCATTTGCGAGTTGCATAAGTGTTGAAAATTATTAGAATCACATAATGGTATTGACATGTATGGGGATCTGAATTTTGATTGTGATACATAAAGTCTCTAGATAGCAGGATATAAAGTCCTCCAGAACAGGAAGTAATCAGTCATTTAGAGCACCAAACTTTGGTGATAATGGTGGGGGCAGAGTGGCAGACTGTGTTCCTGGTTATTTTACAACTGTTGAAGTTATCTTTCACTGTTCCTGGGTTCGTTCCGGTCTTTGAGTGCACCACCACGGCCAGGAGAGTGACCAAGACAATAAGCCCTCATGCCTACCTCACAGACTCTTTACATGTCTGATCACAACGAGGAGACAAACAAAAAAGAACAGAGAATATTGTTCACTCTCCATTTTTTTCAGACACACAATACCAAGAGAGACACTCAGGAACACACTCACAAGCCACTATGGTTCTTCACTCACCTTAAACACGTAGGCACAAAGGCTTTTACAAAATCTTACCCCACAAAGGGAATTTGAGTAGCAAGAGATTAGGGTAAGACAGCTCCTAAGAGATAGGTTTATCACACAAGGGAGGTTGGGTTGGGCAAAAAAATGGGTCAAGCTAATTTGACCAACAGATTTTAACAGCATGTAAAGCACCTCACATGCATTTTCTGGACTACTCTTTCCCAACAATTACAATAAAAGCCATATATACCTGGTTTTCCAGATTCAAGTCTCTCTTTTCCATGACTCCATCCGAAGTTATACCTGATATTGGTCCCATGGCCATAACAGACCCAAAATTAAAGGGTCAATTAAAGACAAAATAATCCTCAAGCATATAATTGCAAGGACCATAAAGGCAGCCATTATAGATGGAGGCCAAAAGAACTCATTCAAAGACTAGTAAGTACAGAGCAATGAACCAAAGTAAGAAAAATGATAAAAGGATTGACATAGGATAAGTTTTTTTTACCTACTATCAGGATCTTCCAGCTCCTGTTTAACACTCTCAGGGGGGTTGGCTAATCTGATAGGAGATTAGGAGAACAATTCTAACAACTCAAATCTTTAAATCGAACCAGTGCATACATATATCTGTTGTGTAGATCCTCTAAAAAAATAATATATGGTGTAGAAATATAGTAAAAACTACTCCGTAGCATATATATTTTTTCTCACCTATGTGAAAGAAGAAGTAGATTTCTACGCAGTAAAGTATACTCAGGAACCTACAAACAATATCAAGAGGGATGATGAAGCAAGGTACGTATAATGAGCCGATATCATGATGATAGTAATTAGTATAACTTCAATAATCAAAGTGTGATGTTACTATTGCAACTTCAAATGTAAAGAAGTTAACTATGGAATTAGATAACCAAAATAATTCCCTTTAAAATACTACCTGTAGTATAATACAGAGTATAATAGATTAGCAAATGTATTATGTGAAAATTATTCCTTACGTCTGAAACTGAGAGTATACCAAGGCCGTTCGGCCCAAATCCTTCTTCAATTTTAGCGGACAAGTCAGAATTTTTATCCTGGATCAATCAATTCATCAATCAACTAACGAATAATGAAGAAATACCCCTTCAAAAGGTTCACAAGGAAATAAAGGCACACAACATGATCTCGCGAATTCAAACTCTGAAAATGAAAAAACAATTTAAAAAAAACAGCGCTTCTAGTCTCGAAAAACAGTGCAAGCTCTCTAGTAATAATCTGACATCTCAAAAAAAAAAACACGCCTTGCAGAGAAAAGTCACCTTGAGCTCGCTATAGGATATGGTAACCGTACGAGACGTGATCGCCGGAGCTTGGGAGGAGCAAAACGCCATTACGGCGAAAAATCGCCGCGGTGTTCTCCGGTGCGACGACGGCGACAGAAACTGAGAAAAGAGCGCGGGAAAATTGGTGTGCTGGGAAATGGAAGGAGAATGTGGCGGAGGAGAGGCTAGAAGAGAACAGTCCATTTATTTATTCCGTTTATTCCTCTTTTAAAATTTGTTCTTCGAATCAATTTGAGTTGGGTTAGGGATTCTGTCCGGCCGCCTTTTGGCTCCGAAAGTTCATATAGGATAGGGGTTATAGAGTACTCTTATTTTAAAAACCAAAAATGTCTGGTTTCTATAGCAATTGTGCAAAAATTGGAGATGCATCAAAATATATTAGGGACTCTTTTTTATGTTTAGTTTTCAACCAAGACATAAAATCCAATCAAAGGTAAACATTGGGTTTAGTTTGTTCAATTTTGCATTGTGAAATACGGAGTCATTGATTAATCGATTCGGGCTTTTGCGGTTTAAAATTTAATTTTTTGAGTAAAAGAACTTTTTTAATTTTAGTAAAACGAAACTACTCTGTAAAATGTATTGTAAAAAACATAAACAAAATTAAACATGTAAATATGAGTAAAACTTGTTTGCTAAAATATAAAAAACATAAAAATATTTCATGCAAACATGTTAAATACGGAGTATCAATTACTCATAGAAGTATTAATTCGAACAATATTAGGTTATTAGTGTTTATTTTTTAGAATTTTTATTTTTATTGTTTACATCATAGTACTCCGTATTAATTATTACGAGGCAAAAAGGCATTAATATCATAGTTTTAAAAACTAGACCGGACCGTGAACCGGCGAACCGGTGGTCCAACCGGTCCGGTCCAGTCCGTTGGACCGCAATGTGCTTCGAACCGGTCCGAACCGGAAAGAACCGGCCGGTCGGACCGGTCAAACCAGTTTTTTTTTTTTTTTTGCGATTTTTTTCCAAAACTTCACTCCATGAGGATTTAAACCTGAGACCTTAAAGGCATTTGCTTGAGTTCTTAACCATCCAAGCAAAGTAGCTTGTTGTTTCTAATTTGCATAATTTTTTATAATATTTCATAATTCATAAAAAGATTGTATACAAATTCCAATTCAATTTTAAAATATTAAATCATTGATATTATTTTTTAATATGTAAAGTTTATTTTTTTAATTTAGTAAAATAACTCAAATATATTAATATAATTCTAGTCAAATATTATAAATTACTTTCTTTAGGTATTTATAAATGAGAATGTGTGTGTGTCTATATGCATGTGTGTGTGTATACATACATACATACATACATACATACATACACACATACATCTATTTATTTATTTATTTATATACTCCATCCGTCCTATAATGTTCTTCCCACACACTTTTTACACGGTCAAACTTTAATCACTTTCTTTACCTATTTTCATTAGGTAAATGATAAAATAATATAGTCTTGTCACCACTTGTTTTGTAGAATTTTTGATGTAATTTTTAAATATATAAATTTTATTTTTTAATTTTACACCTACAATCAAATAAATTGATTTGAAAATAAAGTCGGTCAAACTTCGTAAAATGAACCGGGAAGATCATTATAGGACGGAGGGAGTAATTTTTAAATATGTTTAAACCACCGGTTCGACCAGTTGAACAACTAGTTCGACCAGTAAACCAGTACCTTGACCGGTTCGATCACCGGTCCGATTCTGAAAACTATGATTAATATAATAGTTGAGGCAAATTCTTTTTTAGTATGGGATTAAATTATTTACATTTATATTCCTATGTTCTCTATTTTCACATATCACATGTATAGATACGGAATAAAATAAAATAAAGTGACATAATATTAGAATTTTAGTCTCTTGGATTTGGTTTAATTTTCTAGAATAAAACCCAAAACCAAACAATAATGATTCAATTCAGATGCACAATTTGTTTTTTTAATAATGTAGTTCAATTAATCTCAATTTAGTTTGAGATTTTCAAAACCCACCCCTTCAATGAATTACAACTCAGAAGAGTTTTGATTGACAGGGCATCCCATTTTTTATGCAATGTCTAATAGTATTACTGATTAACTTTATCATATTGAAAATGCAATCTAAACGCAGCATTTAGCTTTAACATTTTTTAAAATTAATCTACAGATTTAAAAAGTTATCAAAAACACTAACACTAAGGGAAAACTTGGTTACCGAACAAGGCCGCAATGGACAATCAATTAAACCACGTACGTGGTGATGGTGCAAAGCCAAGACCTGAAAAAATCTATTTGGTCGGTCACACGATGGTTTACTTGTATTGGAATCAGTGTAGGTTGGTTCAACATTATGTTTGAGCAAGAAAATGGTAGGGAATGATTTGTGCACAGAAATCAGAGAAAACAACATTGGGAGACATAGCCATGTCGTAGCCAGCTAACACTTCTCTTTCTAGCATGTTGGGAAGAAGACAGTACATTCATAAGATTAAACCCTTGGGGAAAATGAGTCAAATGACCAAACATCATTTGATTATGTTTTACAGAACACCAAAAGTCAATGGCTAAATTGGAACAGCCAATGGTTATTTCATGCCGGCACATGAAGGGTGCTTTGCTTCCATTCCCTATCGGTTACTGGTAGGAACAAAAGAGATGGATGCCCTAGTGCAAACCTTATACATTCAGGTCACCTGTTTCTGGACCGAGGGGCTCAAAAACAGCCTCCACTTCACTGAGCTTGACCTCTTCCAAGTTTGATGGTTTCCATTTTGGGTTCTGTGAATATAAAGAGCGAGTAAGATGGCCTTTTTTTGTGATTAACCACTGGGTTGAAGAAAGTGGTATGTGTAAAAAATAATATGTTCATAAATAATTCGTGTTTGTTTTATGTGCTGAATGACAAGCTAAAGAATTGTTTAATGTGGAAAGAGTTGCTTGAGGTGTTTAATGTGGAAAGAGGTGTCCTTAGTGAATGACAGTGAGGGGAAAGCCCACCTACATACTGCTTACTGCAGTAGCAACCATTAAGAGGAGAAAAAGAGGTAAACAAACAACGCCAGCGAGCCTAGCGAACTGAATAAATACTATGTCCCCTAAAAATATCAAGTTTCAAAAACTTTATGTCCCAAAAGAAGTCCGGTTTTAAAATGCAACTTCTATTTTCAATTGAAATTCTTGTAAAGCCAAGGTGGCAAGCAATTTTAGTCAACTCCTAACAAACTTCTAAAAAAGTTTTAGGAGTATAAGTATTGCAAAAAACTTGTACCATGATTGAGTTGACTAAACATGACTCTTTTGGGAACTTAGGGGGTAGAAAATGAATGAATCAAGGAGTTGTTAAGATTTGTTATATGTAGTAAAAATGCAAGGTTCTGAACAGTAGTGGACAACCAATTTGAAAAATGGAGCTAAAATGTGTAGATATATTGCAAATTATAGGTTATAGTCTTATATTTGAAGTTTCTACGGACGTGTAATTACAAATAACAGACCTGATCCTTGTCCAACAAAACAGCACGGACACCTTCAACGAAATCATCTCGTAGAGCAGATCTTAATGCAATGCGATACTCAGTTTTCATCACCCCAGTCAGCTGAGCATAGGAAATTGGTAGTCATTTAGTTCAGGTTGTAGAACTCATTTCAAATATGCAATGTTGGATATGATACAAAGTTGCAAAGACAAACTTACGTCACCTTTGATAAGATATTGTTGTGGTTTCCACGAGCAGATGCAACTTTGGCGAAATACTTTTGAGTTAGAGTGAGAGAAAAGGGAGCACCCTTTCTGAGCCCTTGCAATGCATCCTTGGCCCACTCAGCCACTGTTTGGCAATCAATGATGTAGATACATCGCAAATTACACAATTATATGTAAATTTAATCCTAGGAAACTGTGGATGAACCTTCTTAGTACAGGAAAATGTACCTAAGGTATCAGCACTCTCCTGATGAGTTTCTAGCTCCTTCATTATCTCATTGATAGCCGTGTTGCCACCAAATGTTGAAATTATTCTAGGTAAAATTGACTTCAAGCGGGGTTCTGAATCAGGGGTGGCACTGTATTTTCCCAATACTTTCTGAATATCATGGTCTGGATCCTCAGAACTAGCAACAAGTGAGATGGTCAAGAACAAAGCTATATTTGAGGCAAATCTTGAAGTAACACTAAATACATGCCATTTAAAAAACAAGACAAAAAAGCATTGCAAAACCCAATCTCTACGGGTCTGTTTGGGTTATAGAAAAATCCCAGGGAAAGTGAATAGAGCAAAAAATTGAGGAAGATTCAAAAATTGGTTCAAACTCCACAAACATGTTTTGGAGAAATTTGTTCAACCTCAATTTTATTTTTATATTTCTATTGTATAAAGATTAAGAAATATAAATGTATGTTAAATTTATTAAAATCATAATCAAAATATCAAATTTGATTTTCCTTTGTGTTTTCTTAGGTAAAACAATATTTTTCTTAACCTTTTTTCCTTTCCCTACCATTTTCACATTCCAAACATATGTCATGGCTTTTCATTTGACACCCACACAACATGTAGGCAACCTGTATCTCAAACAACACAGATATATAAATATGCAAGACAAATATGGCATGGCTATGACTAACTTCAGAATAGTTAACATGAGGAAAGCTTGACAAAAAACTCAGAATTTAAAGAACATACAAGGTGACATCCAAGAAATCTTCCTTCATTGCATTCAAATTCGAAGATGGGACGAAGTGTGTTCCCAGACCAACATACAATGCATCAGCGGGTGTCGATATTCTGTTGCCAGTCAATCCAAGATAAGCACCTGCAAGAAATAAATAACTCCAGTAAAGCCTTAACCATAAAAATGATATCAAACATATTTAATTATATATTGCGAAATGAAAGAACAATTCCTCTGATGAAGGGACATCTGGCGTACAACATTGTCAGTTTGACACGATGATTTTTACATGAATTTATAGTGTTAATGGGCACTATAAAGTTAATGCCACCAACCCCAGCTAACTGGGATTAAGATGCTGTTAGTGATGATGAATGGAAAATGAAAGAATGTAATATGAATAGCGGCAATCCAAGACAAGACAAGATACTAATAAAACTCACCGACTACCCCTTCTCCTGGAGTATGAGCAGCTATATAAGCAAAGCCGACATCAGGAAACAGGCCAATTCCATTTTCTGGCATGGCAAGAACAGTCCTCTGGAACAAATCAATTTGAATGAAAGCGAATATTGGAAAATAAAAAGCAAAAACCAAAGAAATCGTCACAAAAATGAAGAAATACCTCAGTTACTACTCTGTAGCGACCGTGACCAGATAATCCAATGCCAAATCCCATCGTTATACCATCCATGAAGCTAATATAAGGCTTCTTGTAGTCATGTATCTTACATATCAAAGAATACTCTGCTGAGAAAACCTGTTACATTGTTGGGTTGGAAAAGCACTAAACGGGCATTAAGACTTGCATGACTAAATAAATCTGATCACCTAACTTAGAATTTTTTCTCTCATTGGTTAATAATATCCATTGAAATTGTAGACATGAAGAAAAGCACAGCAATATATGGAACCTAAATAATACTACTAGGCAATATAAAGTCACACGTGCATCCGAAGTAAGCAGAGTCATTTCACTTCCAACATATATTTGTTTAATCATTTCCATAAACAAAATGACTTCCGAGTAAAACATCATCTATTAAATGCATTTCCAGAAGAGCTACTTTGAAGTTTGAATATTATTATTTGACTACATGTAATGGTATTGTTTTTGGTGTTAGCTATTGTCATGCTGCTAACTGGTAATTGACACAGTGAAAATACATTCCAAGACCTCAATCATATCAGAGAGTTGCTTTTTGGTTGTAATCTGCTTGATATCACCACCTGCAGGTAAAACGACACACACTACTTCTATGATCCATTGAGCTAATGTTCATTGAAGTGTAACAAAAGATGTTCTCAAAATAAAACGATATGAATATATGACATCAATTCATGCTGCTAGGCTACAGTTTATGCATGCCACTAACTCGCATGACCACAACACAATGAGAGATTGAGAGTTCAGCCAAAAACAACCATAGAATGGTTAGTGGACATTTGTATGAAAAATCTCAAGATTCCACGAAAACCTTTTGCACAAGAGAAGTGGTTTTGTCCTTTTGGATTTCGGAAACGACGCCCTTAATATCCATTCCTGCATTGGCAATGAATGGTTACCCTCTAAATCTGACGGCCCAAAGAAAATACTAGCACAAAAGTGCTCATAGAGCAAATGCAAAGATACAATTCCACAAACATATTTATATGCCCGTAAAAGAATAGAACAAATTGAGACAATGACAAAATCATAGATAGCTAAAGGGTTTTAGGCAAGTCATTTAACCTGCACAAAAGGCACGCGGGGTGCTGCCCTCAATTAAGACACATTTCACCTTTGGGTCCGATTCCCATTCATCCAAAAAGCTCTTGTACCTTATATCCATGTCTGCACCATATTCAAGGATAAGTAATGCAATAAAAACTTGAAATGACTCCTTACCCAGTCACATTTAAAATCTAATTTTGTGAAGCATCAATAGATTCAGGCATCAAGACACTGCTCAAAACACTTGGGATCTGTTTGGAAACAGCATTTTCCATTAGTACTATAGTACTTTAAAAAGTTGGCGAATGCCAAATGAACACTGAATCAGATAGTATTGAAGTTTTACTGCTACTGGATAATGGGGAAACTAAAAGTATTGACACAGACCAGAGAATCTCAAATCGAGATTGTCAACAATACCAATCAGGGAAGGACCTACTTCTAATCCACGTACAAATGGTACAATACCTAAAAAAGCAGTAGTAGTGTTTATAACGCAATACCTAAATTCATTGCGTTGAGAGCTTTGGGACGATCGAGGGTGATGACGGCGACGCCATTCGGGTGGACATTTCCTCTGACGAATTCATCGGAGCTGCCGGAAGCCATGACCGCCAAGGTCCGGATAGGTGGAAACGGCGGCGTATTAGAGAATATGGTTCGGATAAGACTAGCAGCTCCGCCTCGAAACAAAAGCCATTGCGTCATTGTTTTTGTTTAGGAAAATGACAGGGTAAATATTCCCACCCCCTCCATCACCACTAGAAAAGGCAAGAAAAATTCAAAAAGAAATAAAAAATAAAAATAAAATAAAATGAATAGTTAAGAGGGAAGTGGTGTACATTTGGGATACACCTTTGGTGTACCCCTAGCATATCCCTTTTGTTTATGTAGTGAGCTAATGTAGGCCGTTCAAGCCAGTCCCTGCATCACAGTTTAGTCATACACTCATTAGTCATTAGGATTACGGCAATGCTAGGGGTACACTAACATGGGGTACCCCAAGTGTACACCAAGCCAACACAGACATACACAGACACCAAATGTCTATGCAACACAGACACTTTGTGTCTGTGTGTGTCTGTGTTGGCTTGGTGTACACTTGGGGTACCCCATGTTGGTGTACCCCTAACTTAATTCTTAGGATTAAGCTATTTGTACCCCACTTTACTTTGTACCCTACATGTTTGCACCAACACTTTATGTTGGTGTAAAACTAATTTTTGTTAATACACCAACATTTTTTGCCTGTGTAAATTTTTGTTAATGCACCAACATTTGTGTCGGTGTAAATCATCAAAATGTTTGTGTATAACTACGGTGCACAAATATGGTACAAATTTATGGTGTAAGTGTAGCATGACCCTAGTCATTATGTAGAGTTTATTACAGTTGTGATTTAGTAAATATGCACCATTGTTATACATGATTTTAAAGTTTACGTCGTTGCTCTTATCATTCTAATATTTCTAAAATACTATTCATATCTCAAATGAATAGCTCTGATGTCCCCTATGGTTCTGGAAATGAACATCAATGCCTCCTCTCCTTTTTTTTCTTTATTACATTTCATATTTCTTTTATTTTTTCATAAATAGGAAAAAATGTTTGTTTTTGAAATTATGAAAAGTTTTTTTTCAATACTATTTTCTTAAAACTGTTTTAAACAACGAAAATTATTTGTGTGTGAAATAAAAAATGAAATAAAAATATTAAGATATATTTCATTCGTCTCAAATTAAATATTTTCATTTTTCACTAAAAAAGCATTCTTTTTCTTTAATATGATGGGACCAAAAGAATAGAGAGTAAGGTCTTCTTAATATTTAGTTAATAATTTTTTTGACTGATGCACAACAGATATTTCTTTCATGACTTAATTTTTTCTATAATATAAAAGTACTTTTGATATACTTTCATGATATTGCTACGCTAATGTCCTTTTAGACCAAAATATCCTTTAAATATTAGGTGAATATTTATGCTGCCCCTAGTGGTTTAGGAAATGGGCGCCAACACCCCCTCTCTTTTTCCTCTATTGTTTTTTTTTCTTTTCTTTTTTTCATAAAGAGAAGAAAAATGTTTGTTTGTGAAATAATGAAAAATTATTTTTTCAAACCTATGTTTTAAAAAGAGTTTTAAAAAATAAAATAATGTTTGTGTTTGAAATAAAAAAACAAAATAAAATATTTAACATATACTTCATTTGTCAAATTAAATATTTTCGTTTTTTTGTCTAAAAAAGTTCCAATCTTTTTGAATATTTCGGGACTAAAAGAATACAGAGTAATGTCTTTTTAATATATATTCAATTATATATTAATAATAGTTTTTAGACCAATGCTTTTTGAATATTTTGGGACTAAAAGAATACAGAGTAATGACTTAATTTTTCCTCTTCTATAATAGTATTTTTTTCATATACATTTATTTTATTTTATTTTCTATTCTTTTTTCTTTAATTTTTATTTTTATTTTTATTTTGATTAAAATAGAAGGAACAGTATAAAATTAATGATAAGAAAATGAGAAATGAGCTTTAGTGAAAAAAGAGAATATTTTATTGATTTTTATATCATGAAAATGAACCAATAAAAACCTCTTAAGGATAAAAAATGAATATGTTTAATTGAGACAAATGAAGTATATGTTAATTTTTGTTTTTTAATTGATTTTTATTGCAAACATAAAAAAATTGATTATTAATATATATTTAAAAAAATTTAAAAAAAGAAACTAAAAAAATATTTATGAAAAAAGTAGTAGAAAAAAAAAGAAAAACAATAAAGAAAAGAAGGGGCATTTGTGCCAATTTTCAAAGCCATAGGAGGCAGTGAAGCTATTCACATAATATTTGAAGGTATTTTGATGTAAAAGGGGCATTAGCGTAACAACAAGGAACAATGTAAGTTTTACTGATCCAACTTGATGTATTTCTAGTTTTGAATCAGAGTGAGCTAGAATTTTTTTGATTTTAAAGTTATAAACCTAAACCTGGAGTTGTAAATGAATCGAACCAAATACTAATTGTTCATATTTGTTTTATTTTAGTTTTTGTACGAATTTGAATATGGTTTGAATATTAAGTAAAAATTTTATTTGATTAATATTCAAATAGTTATCAAATTCTAAACGAATACTCAAATAGTCTAAATTTGCATGATGGATGATGGACCAACATCACTTTTGAACTCTTTAACTTGTGTTATTTCTTAGATTATACTCCCTTTGTCCTGGGGTATTCGTCCAACATTCTTTCTTCGATATTTTTTTAATGATGCAGATTAATTTCGAAGATGCTAAAATTAAATACGGCATTAGATTATCTATTCAAAATGTTAAAGTTGTTTCAAAACAAGCACCAAAGCACATAAACTGTGTTTACACTTTCATTTCAGAGGCAACCACAACACCGTAACAACAATAAACTCAATATATATTTAACGGTACAAGAGTACCGTAGTCCTACCGTGAGCATGGCTTAATGTAAACAACAGACTTATCAATGCAACCACAAAGCATAGCTTTTAGGCTTAACCAGTTCTTGAACAATTCTACCAAGTAATTAGGATGAAGACGTACAAACTAACTTACATAAGGATGGATGTTATACACTAGGGAGACGTTAATTTGAGCTATAATGACAAATGCTAAGTACACGTCACATGGTAACAGCCTTACCTTTCAAATTGATAGAAAGAGAAGGCGGCGTTGAGAGGTCGATCACTCTAGCTTCAGCAATATAAGCAAATATCCTTTTAGTTGGCTGTGTACAATAATCTCTCAATTTTATAGGGGTCTTGCTCATTGCCTCATTGTTCTTCCAATCATGCCTGGCAGAGAAGGAAAAGAAAAGGATAGAGCGAGTGTTAGATATATTGATTGTATTGATGAGGGAACAGGATTAAGAAAACGGAGAATGTGTGCCTAAGACAAGTAAGATTTACTTTAAGAGATAAATTTTACTGAACATGTTTTGTTTTTCTCTTAAAAGGAAATGATTGATAATTCTGAGATTGACGAACAAAAGTTGGGAAGATTTAAGGACATGGATTAATACTTTAAATTATGTGAGTTTTGACTTATGGCTTCATTATTTTTTTTAAGACTTGCAATGTTTATCATCATCATCATCATTATCACCTTGTTCCTTACTAGTTAGGGTCACTGGCATTAAATCATAAATGTATGGTGTTAATTATCATAAAGAATTGACTAAAACTAATTTCATGGGAAAAACACTGCCAATGTTTTACAGCAGATGCCCTTCATGTTGTAACCTTCAGGGGAGTATATTTATCACCATTAAATAATAATTACTCATTAGTTGCTTCTTATCATGTGACCCAAAGAAACACATGAGAAAAATCCTTCTACAATTAACTTTTCAACGCTTAAGTACAATGAGAATAATTACTTTACCTGTGTAGGACTCATTGTATGAGGAACATTAACTAAGCGCTCCATTGTTTGCAGCTGGTCATAAGGAGCAATCTGCAGAATAAGAACACCACCAAAATATACAGGACTTTATCCACCGTTGAATACTTGAATGGCATTGTCAAGGAACCAACTCAACCAAAAGCTCAAGCTTTTGGTTGTGGCCCAGGATGAGTTATTTATATTCTAACACGCCCCCTCACGTGCAGGCGTAGTCTTTTTCGAGCCTTGCACGTGAAACTTTAATTTTCTTAAAACTGGGTGGCGCTGAGTTTTGAACCCATGACCTCTTAGCCAACAAGGCTCTGATACCATGTCAAGGAACCAACTCAACCAAAAGCTCAAGCTTTTGGTTGTGGCCCAGGATGAGTTATTTATATTCTAACAGGCATAAATGAAATGATGATCGTTTCCAATATAAATACACACACACACACACAACAATATATATCCTTATAAAGTCTGACCACCTGGCTAAATCCATCAGACCAGGTTATTGTGACAGCATAGTTACCCATGGGTCTGATTTCTTCAGGCTCAATGTCCTCTGCTACATCAGAATTCTGCAATTTCTGCTCGCCGGTCCACTCATCCTGTTCCAATCACAATTGAGAAGCCATATAAGAGAGTAATAAAAAGGAACAAAAGATCTATTGAAGTAAAATTACCAGAAAGAAAACACCTAAGACCGATTTGCAGTTTTGATGACAGATTCTATTGTTCACCAAATGCGTGCAATGCTTTTGTTGAGGTGGATGGGTGGTTATGCGAGGCTGGATAAAATCCCGAATGAGGTTATTCAGGGAAGTGTGAGAGCAGTACCTGTGGAGGATAAGCTATGAGAAGCTAGATTGTGGTGGTTTGGGAACATAAGGGTAAGTGCAAAGGCTCTGGTGAAGAGATACGAGAGGCTTGCGATAGTGGGCGTGAGTAGGGGTAGAAGTAGACCTAGGAAGAGTTGGAAGGAAGTGATTATACATGACTTAAGGCTTCAGGATCTTATCTTGGATATGGTCTTAGATAGGAACACATGGAAAGCTAAGATTAGAGTTATGTTCTTTATGTTCTTTATGTGTTTTCTGTGCTTAAGGTCTATTTGCTGGTGTCTGTATGTGCTTCTTGTGTTTGTGCACTTTGTCTGTGCTACTGTGTTTACTTCGTCACTACTTCTGTGTTTGAGCCGGAGATCTCTTGGAAATAGCCTCTCTACTTCCCAAGTAGGGCTAAGTTTTGTGCACACACACCCTCCCCAGAGTCTACTCTTGTAAGATTTTACATGGTTTGTTGTTGTTGCTGGCATGCATATATTACACTTCATCACTTGATTTCTCAACTAAAAAAAACAAGTCTATCATAAGCCATTGTTTGGTTGGAGACTTGGAGTGTTTTGGTGGGGAGGGTAGGAAAGTGTGGAAGTGGTGTGAAAGAGAAGTGGACTTACCCAAACTCATATCCCATCCCCCCCACCATTATCATTAGCATAATCATTATCATACAAGACATTGAATGATATCATAATATGACAATGAATGTCAATGTCAAGAGAACCAAAGTGATCATACATATACATTACTATATATTTTTATTGCAACAAAAGTAATCAAGTATAATACTTGTACATATTTTGTAAAATACGAATTCCTCATCACCCCATTGAACCAGACATGACATCATTCTTAGCTCTTCCATTTTACACCACCCCTCGCCCTTTTTGAACGAAACAAGTGGTTAGAGTACAATTGTGTAGGCAGGCAACACTACTTATGTAGATCTTTATGTCCTAGACGGCTTTTTTCAGTTGCTAAAGGCAGAAAGCATAAGTTAAAAGGGATTTGTTTCCATACCACAATTTGAGCAGACCTATCATTTCTTCTTACAGTTGCAGGGTGCAGATAGAACTCTTTGTCTGAATTGGACACTCTCACTTTTATTGCCTTAATAGATCTATCATAGCTTACTGCAGTTGAGACTGGAACAAAACATTGAAACAAAACCTGAGGTTACGAATCTACAACCATTCATAATCGTCATTCCATATGTCATTGAATTTGTAATCAGACCAATAAAATTGCATGACATCTACTAATAATTCTCACTTCAAAATAAGTCATTAAGGAAAAGAGTTTTTTAATGATTGGTTTTACTAGGGAAAATCTGAAGAAAAATCAAATAAATTTACCTTTCTAAAATATCACATATATTTATACAGCAGGGTTCCCTTGGCGTTGGTAACCAATGTCATGGGATGACATCGGGCACCTACGCTACTCCGTTTGGCCCGAAAGCGGTTCTTTCCCCCAACACCCCTCTCCAATCTCCATTTGCCGATTTGCTACAACTTTCACTGTAGCAGATCGAAAAATGCAAGAGAGGGGGGGGGGGGAATTAGGAACCACCTTCGGGCCCAATGGAGAACCGTAGGTGCCTGATGTCATCCCATGACGTTGGTTCCCAATGTCAGGGGAGCCGTAGTGATATTTATATACAAGAACTATAGACATATCTGAATAAAATGAGTTAGACAATTATTCAAGAATGATCTATCTAGTTTGACCCAAGGGGCCAACCCAGTTCAAATACCCACTTCGTGAGTGTCTGGGGAAGGGAATACTCTAGGCAGTCTTGCCCCTGCTTTTTGCAGAGAGGCTGATTCGAACCCGCAACCTGACACGACTGCTGAGCCAAGCCGGCCCCTCGATTGATCCAGTTTGAACCATTTTTTTGAAAAAATCCATGGATTTCTTTTCCTTAAAAAATTCTACTCTATTTTGCTCCTTGGTTTCATTCCCTAACATTTTCCAGAATCCAAACGGACCCTAAAGACTTACAAAACCGGATTCCGGATTCCAGCTTATGGGTTGTGAAGAAAAAAGTAACGCACGTAGAATGCACCTAAATTAAAACTTAACTCAAGATTCATTAAAGAGTCTGTCTCGGAACCCGGAGCGTGCTAGGGAAAGAAAATATGGAAGAAATTGGTGAAGGAAATTAGAAGAAAATGAAATTTGACTGAAAATTTAAAATATACTCCCGCCGTCCAGAAATCAAGTTTTCATTTGAGAATGGCACGGTGTTTACAAAAATCAAGTTACTCATTTGCCCCTACTTTAAGGTAAAAATGTGTAAAAAAAAGTGTATAAATGTAGTAGTTGTAGTTGGTAGTTGAGGGTTAAGTTTTAATGTAGATGTAAGGTACATGCCATAAATGGAAATGTAAAGGAGAGAAACGGAAAAAGAGTACCTTGTTGACGGATTTTGGCACACTGTTGCACCACACAAACCCCCAACTCTTGAAATGTTCTGGCAACTTCTCCTTGAGGATCAGAAACAACTTCAGGCATTCCACTGTCTCCAGAAGCAGATAGCTTTTGATATTCAGGGAAACAAATAACTATTAAAAATAGTTTCTAAATAATTGTGAATATATGAAGTCCATAACCTGATCTAATGAAGAATGCACAAGAAAAGCAAGGGTCATATATGATATGAGTTTTCAAAACTTATTGTTCAATCCGTTCAAAACCAGTAAAACCGGGACTTACAGTTGGTCTGATTGGAAGTTCAAACAGATGTGGGATCCCAAACTGCTGCACAACCTGTAAAAAGATCAAAATGATGTAATATACTACTACGTATTACAAAAGGGTATGAGTTTCTTACAAATTCTGAATCATCAATTATAGCCTTTATAAATCTCTTTTAAGGACAATATTAGAAATTTTTCTGTGGTGGCAATAAGAATCATTTCACTTGAATTAATTTTGAACCGCAATTAATTCATACGCTGGGTAGTAGTAATTTTTAAGCGATTAGACTCAAGAGTAAGTAACACAGAGAAAGGTAATCATCCCTTCCGTTTCATTGGACAAAACTACAGTGTATAATAAGAATGTATATGTAGGAATTACAAGATGACCAACTCTGTTATGCCCATCGGAGAGTAAAATTGGGTTGGGCCAAATTGGGTAGGATTTCCATCAGCGACTAGTCGTTGCCTACGCGCGACCAGTCGTTGCCTAGGCGCGACTAGTTGTCTCTTTACACGACCGGACGACTAGTCCACCCAAGTCGCCGCCACCAAAATGACCGGATGACTAGTCGTGGACTAGTCGACGACTTAACAACAACGGTTGACACTTGAGGAACATGTGTCACTCAGCATTGGTGTCATTGGACATTGAAGAAGAAGAAAGAAGGTTGCCAAAGTGGTTTGTATATTTACACAAGTGCAACTGGACTGGTAAGCACTGCAACAAGAAAATTGTGCAGTTATAATGCTACTTATACAATCACTATCTTATTCTCTTGGAATAACATTTTACCTTCTGATGAATATTAAGATTTATTTATTTTATTATTGATCAACATCTTTAGTACTTCTTTAATCATCAAACTTTTTTATCTTGAGGTAAATAACTCTAAAAGTCATTGCTTTGATAGAGATGTTACAAAACATGCTTTAAATATTACTCCATCTATTTCAAATTATTTTCTATGCCCATTGCCAATGGAGCTATAGGAGTCATTACTGCAATGTTTTAGCTTTAGGTAAATAATAGGTTACATGATTTACATCAAAATGTCACATTATACTTCCTTTGTTTCTCACTTTCTATGATGTTTTGGGTAAGGAATGCAGCAAGCCAGCAATGCATCAAGGGTCTAATGGAACTATTTTTTCACGGGTAAGACTGCATGCATCTTGACCCTCCATATCCGCAATTTACTTGGAATCATACTGCATTGTTTCTTAGACCATTACTATAGAGTATTTATTGTTGGTGTATCTCAATCCCAATTTATTTTTAACTTCTCTTTTTAGACCATTAATGAATAGTGTTCACATTTCTTTTCTGAACATGGCAATTACTTTACTTTTTTTAACCTCAGTTTCACGTTTATTAGGTGAGCAACCTTCGAAATATGATTTAGTAAAATACCTTGAAGTTTATCGGTGGGTGTGTATAAAGATATGCTAAAACAAAAACTATCATATACTTTGAGACAAAAGGTTAAAAGGAATACCACAATTTATTTAGGCTCTAACATAAATGATCCGCATGCAATGCATGTGTTCTCTGCTACAGAGTAGTAGTTATACTAAAAAGAGAACTATGGGTAATGTTATGATAATACACATTTTTCGGTAATATCATTATACTTACTTTTTTGCAATGTTAGGTGTAAATCCCAACAAACATATTACTGGTGTCGTTGGTTTTGTGAAAATTGACAGAGATACTCCGAACTGAACTTGGCAGCGGTGTGGTTTACAGTTCACTGTAGAAAAAAGAATAGGGCTAGTGCTTTTCAGAGAGATTTTTGTGGCTATTTTAGGGTTTGATTTTGATATCTTATTAAGCAATAAACTACTAGTTTTATCGGCATGACTTTCAAGAAGGAAGACTTAGCCCTAAGGCTATATATTTAAAAAATGGTAGGGAAAGGAAAAAATGCCAAGGAGTGCAGTTTTAATTGTTTGGTTTTACATTGTTATGGTAGTTTTTTAATGTTTGGTTTTACATGGTTATGGCATCTTTTTTATTGTTTGGTTTTTCTATTTCCAATTTTCCATCCAAATATCCTCTACATTCTCCTTATTAGCTTTCCCTACTAAAACTACATTTCTACAATAATATTTTCAACTACCTCTGTCCCATAAAACTTTTCAACTTTCAAATCTTACTTGTCCCATAAAACATTTCAATTTGGGTTAAATAAACACAATTGACTTTACTTTTCTTAAATCTAATTGAACCTACCTCAACTACCTTCTATGCCCTACCCATTTTGATATTTCCCGACTCCCGAGCCCTACTCGTTTCAATAATTGTCGTTTCACATTGGTCAAAATTCTATAATTTCCCCTCCCAAAAGTCAAAACAGGAAATGTTTTATGGGACGGAGGAAGTATACTTTAACAGATGTTTGGTTCTATCACATATGTAAGACAAAGAGGCAACCTGAACACCTGAACCTTTACCAAATGGGTAATAGCGTGTTCCATCAGCATCAAAGTGGCACATATTCTCAACTACAGCAACACAAGGCACCTAACCAGCCAAACGATTAAGAACAGTAGATAGAAATCATAGAATCTGCATTCAAATGGGAAAATAAAAAGATGAATAATGTCAAACAAACCTTTAGCTTAGAAAACATGCGAACACCCTTTGCAACATCTATGAACGCTAATTTTTGTGGTGTGGTAACAATAACTGCAGCTGCCAATGGAACAACCTGATTGCAGCATCCAATCAAAAGTTATTCTAAATGTCAAGGGTCCAACAGCAAGAATGTTGTACTACTAAAGAGCTATCGAAAATTTTAGTCTGCAGGGTATGAGCAAACCTGACACAGGGTGAGTTGAATATCACCAGTTCCAGGAGGCATGTCAATAACAAGATAGTCCAGTTCTCCCCTGCATAAATGAATGTATTTTTTACAATGAGACAGGTAAAAATGAGTCAAAATATTAATGAAGTACAATATGTGTGTAGGTAAAACAAAGAAACTACTCTTCCTGTGAAAAGTGAGAACAAATATAGGTAATTCATCACTTACAAATGCATGGATTGGATGTATATTTGTGTGTGTGTGCACACTTAAAAGTAAATACTCCCTTCGTCCCTTTAGAAAATTGGCACTTACGTTCATGGAGTTTGAGAAAAGTGTTGGGAAAGTGAAAAGTGTGGTTAGAATCTATTCAGAAGAAAGAGAAATATTGTGAGCCACATATTCCTTTCCACGAATGGAGAAAGGAAGGAGGGACAGAGGGAGTACTAAATAATGGAGAGTAGTTCAGCCAATCTGAATATGTGATGCAATTTAGACAGGAAGCACATAATACCACTCTGCAGTAGTAAGGAGTTGGTTGATGACCCCAGATGCCATTGGACCTCGCATTATTGCACGCCCTTGTCCGGCAAACCCAAAAGATACTAACTTGACACCCAAGTATTCTGTTGGAATAATGCTTCTCTTCTCTGCGTTCTAGCAGTTCCTAAATTAATGGTTACATTTCTGCAAGCTGTATGCATGAGTTTGAGCAAAAAGGAACAGAAATTACCATTTCCAGAAGCCGGATTTCTGGGGAAACCATCGTGGGTAAACTAGGTCCGTACACATCAGCATCAAAGATTCCAACTCGAGCACCCATACCAGCCAAAGTATATGCAAGGTTCACAGCTACAGTTGATTTTCCTACCCCTCCCTGGGAGTTTTTACATTATTGCAGCATGAAAGACAAAAACAAAATAAAATGCAGGACACAAACTTCAAGAGGTTGGTTAAAATTTTAAGTTTAGTAATTAAGTGTGGAAAACCATTTTCCTACGACCTGTTTCAGAAAGATCTTAGACAGGGATCATAGAAAAAAGGGATCATTGCACATTACCAAAGGCTGCAACATTTTATTAGAAAATGTTTGCACTAGAATACTATCACTTTTTCCTTTACATTTTCTCTATTTCATGCAAAGATGTAAGACATGAACCAATATAGTCACTCTGTCCATATTGTAGTGCCCAGTGTGACACAATTTTAAAGAAGTGTTAAAACATGAAAAATGTGTGGCTGGAATTTGTTTAGAAGAGAGAAATATTATGACTTATGAGCCACCTATTCCTTTACTTAAAAGGAAATAGGATATTATTTTGGGACAAATGAAAAAGGAAAGTCTGATAGGGATATAGGGAGTAGCAGGTTTTAACATCACTCTTCAGTACGTACTCTTATCAGATTTACACTCTGTTTGGTAGCCAGTTCTGGCTTAATCTGTTTATGATACAGAATATGTAGATAAGTGCTTCCTCACTTACTTATTGGCTGAAATGAATGCCCAAAAATTAGTAGATTCGTCCATTTTAGCTAAACTACCATTACCAAAGAGGCCCTTACACTATTCAAGGAGTATGCCAAAAAGAGTTAAGATGTGTAGAGCTTACCTTGCAACTTGAGACGGCCAATATATTGGATATTTTTTGCAGACCTGGTGGAAGCTGTCCAGCTAAAGCAGGTCCTACTGGTTGGGCTGACATTTTCACATTAACCATTTTCACCCAGGGAATTGCAGCAACCACCTCATTAGCCCTTTGCTCAAACTGCAGGTAAACGAAAGCAACTGAATTTCCTATGTCGAATTGATTATTACTGAGGTTTGGTGCATAAAGACCATAAAAACTGGATTTTGAAAGAGGAATCTACAAATAATACTTCCTGCATCCCTATAGACTTTACACACTCTTTAATAAAGTGGAAAGTGTGGTTGAGATTTATTTAGAACTTAGAAGAGAAACAATATCAACCATTTAATCATTTCCCTAAAAGGAAATAGGAGATCATTTAAGGGATGAACAAGTGAAAATGAAGATATTTAGTCTATAATAAAAGGGATTTTAGAGATGAAAGAGAAGCTAAGGTTCATTGTGGGTAAAAAAACAAAACAATATACAACAAAATATAAAACCTTGTTATAATGTTATGTACCACTTGATACACACATCAATTCTTGATCAAACAACGGTGTTTGTGTTTCATTTACCATGTCCTTGATTGGACATGCTGGAGTCGTAAGCTCTAGCCGAAAGTGAACCTGCAAGTCAATAATGTTAGAGAAGAACTCAAAGTTTAGAATGGGATATGGATCAACATAAGTATGTGTTTAGGATAACCTTTCCAAGAACCTCGTCAACATGGAGATCCTTCACAAACCCACATGAGACGATATCAGTTCCAAAATCTGGATCAATTATATGTGCAAGGGCTTTTAGTACTTCATCCTCAGCAGTTTGATTTAATACCATAGATGCCCTAGCTGCGATTCACCATGTTTAGTTCAAATCAATGACAAGAACTCGTGGATAATCATATATTTTCATTCGTCTAGCCATTCCAAATAAGCCAAATAGAAAGATATAAACCAATATATAAGGAATGCGACTATTACCCATATCAGTTTTCCTTTGAGGATGGAATTTCAAGTCTTAAAATGGCATGAGAGACCACTGAGCTCAAGCCAAAAAATTGATACCCGTAAAATTCAATAACAAGCCTACAGATATACACTAACAAATAAGACTTTGCACTGTGCTGCACTGTGCTCCTCTTATCAGGTTGACTTTATAGGAGACCAATGACTATATAATGGATGAAATTTTATAAATATAATCATGAATTCAGCAAAATAAACTATCAACAAAAAAAGGATCAGTATGAGATCATATAAGACCTAGCATAGATACTATTCAAAGTTTTCAGAAGATAGGAAAATACTACGGAGTACTCAGTAAAAAAAGTTTTCCTTTCGAACTTAGATTTTCAAGCACTATAAGATTTTATCCCCATTCAAAGCAATGGCAGCATCTTCCAACACTTATTTTCACCATGGAATTGTAACACGCTCTTACTGGTAGGGCTTATTTCATCAAGAAATCTGGGGTTGTTAACAGTATTAATAAAAACATGGGTAAAAAGAAGAAATTTACCATTCACAGAACCAGCTTTAGGGGTCAATTTTGAATGCGTGGAGGGCACATTCATAGACCTCGAGTTTCTCAGGGGATTGAAAGGGAAATTGTAAAAAAGACAGCATTTTTCAGCTAGATTAAATCCTGAAAAGCGGAAAAGAAAGTAAAATGGCATCAAACAAGTCATACAAACAGGTAAAAATGTGTGTGCGTGGCTCGAAAGGTACCTGCTTTGGGCAGTGAATGGAGATGATTCAAGGTAAGAGCAGCAGAAGAAGATGGAGCTTGAAGAAGTGGCATTTCCTCCTTCAATCTGTCACTGCGTGAAGTGGTATGGGATTTTGGGGCTGTGCTGCACGCAAGAAAGGGAAGATGTTTTCAATGAGATGTTTTGAGAGCCTCTCGTTTTGGATCCTGCGTGGATCGGTTTAGATGGGGCGGGCATTCTTGGCCACTATTCTTTCTTTGGGATCTGTGTTTAGTAAAAGTTCTCCGTATGGGCGGTCACAATTGAAAAAAGTTTACAAAATTTACAAAATTTACAAAATGATGAGTCAAAAAGTTTACAAAATTTACAAATTTGATTTCAGAAATAAAATGTACTCAAATACGAAGTAATAAAAAATATTTTAATTTAAAAGTTACAAAAAAAAAAGAGTTTGTGAATTATTTATTTGTGAGTCTAGCATTTTCCTTGAAATAAACTAATCAAACCAAACTAAAAATGATGAACCCTCCTAACCCAAAGCACAAACCACATAGATTTTATTTTATGCGTACATGCAATAAAATTTTGTATGAAGTATAAAGTCATACTTGGGATCATTCTTTTGAAGTTACCATAGCTTTATTGAAAATTGATACAAAGTATTTTGGTTTGTACTAACATTCAAAAGTTTCGTGATAAAACGTGACAGTTCATGCAGAAAAATGGTAAAATAATATGTTTAACATAACTACTCCATACATTTAAATGTTCTGGGCAAACATTCGAATGTTCTACGTAAAGTTGTGTGGTTTCGTCAAGAGACTCTGATCAGTTTGTGCTCTATAAATATGGAGCCCTAGGATATGTTTGAGTAACGACGAAAATTCCATGCTCGTTCTAGATACTAACATCTTATCTGATTGAAGTATTTTGATATGAAACATCATGTGATTCGTTCATTCAATCAAGATTCTTTACATTCAAGCGTATACTGTTCTACATTAACGGTGCTATGCATGGTTGCCACCCCTCCTAAATTTCCAACATATTCTTCTTAGGCAAACAAATATCATCCCAAGCAACCAAAAGAATCTTCTTGTATTCATGGGAGGAACCCCAAAGGAAGTTTCTACAAAGAGCTTGAGCCCATAATTCTTTGATTCATTCTTATCATTTTGTTTTTTTCAAATAATTATCTAACCAGATCATTTTTACTTTTCATTGTTTTATACTTTTGAAATGATCATAACTTTAAATTCTCAAGTTTGATTCTTTCATAAGATATACCATTAGAATTTTCATTTCGAGACTTACCCATAAAATGCATTTCAATTATTTACCACATTTCAGTTTTTCAATTTTGCTGAGGGACAGTAGGAGTGATCTAGTTTCAACTTATTTCAGTTTTTTGTTAGTTATCAGCTCATACTAAAAAATTTCCCGGTTTAAAATGCTACGTATTAAGGTGAATTGGCATTCCGAAGTAATGGTTAAAGATAGGAAATTTCTTGTATTTCTGAAGTATTAAAGTAAAATCGCATATTTTCTGAAGTATTTGTGTGAATTTTGTTTTTTGGCAGAATTTCTTCATTCATTACAATAGATTGATTTTTACATTATTCACATCATCATTAGCATTTCTTTGATATTTTTTGTACAATGTAAATATACTACGGAGTATATATTGTATTATTTAAAATATGGTTAGATTTGTCTCAATATTATATTTTCATGATTTTAAATTTTTATACATACTACTGGAACACCTTTGACACTAATGTATCTCATAAACACACAAACAACTTTACATTGTCTATGAGTATCTTCGAAATGCATTCGTGTCAGAAGTAGTGTACCTCTAGCAATTTTTGTAAATTTTTATACTTAAATATGTTAATGATAAAAAGAGTGCATCAACAAATGCAAAAGTCAAACAATGCAATGAATATATAGTATTATACTCTTCAAAACTAATTCAAACCACACATTTTTTTTCACTTCCAAATAATTATTTTAGTCTTTGTAAAGTCAAAGTGAAAAAATACTTGTGAGCCAGATAGAGTATGTAAATGGATTTTTATGAAGGCAAAGAATATGAACTCCATTGGAAAAGAATATGAAACCAAATTAATCAATATATCAGCTGATCAGATTCTGAACTAAGAGGTAAACACAATCATCAAAATATTGCAAGGCTGCTGCTAAATAAAATTATCTTTGCCTGCTAAAGAAGCAAACATCATTTTTTTTAAAACAATAAGTAATGCTAGTGTAACTTCAACCTTCTTGAATCAATACTCTCCGGTTGGAGACGGTCACAATTTTGCCTGAAAATCCTGGAGTTTTTTAGCTCGACCCACTTGTACCATATATGTATGAACTCAATGTATCATTTAAAAGAATATTGCATGTATTCATGAGCAATTTTATTGCCAGAGCCTGCTGCAGAAATCTCCCTTAGGCCTTTTGCTGGAAATGATTTCTGAAAAAGAATGGACTAACTGTCCAGCTAAGCTACTCGGATCATCAATTAGAGTCTGAATATAGGTATTGACAACCCTGCGTTCTCGCTCTGTTGATCTCAAGCTAAACCAAGAAAGGAACTTTAACCTGAACTCATTCTTAACGTGACCCTCGCATTCCAGCCAACGAACGGTTTTCACACAGTGCTCAAAGTTCTCATCCAACAGGCCAGAAGAACTGTTATTGGGTACCCGGATTGGAGACCCACTGCTTACCAGTACACTGTCCGAGTCATGTGCTTCACAGTTGGTGCTCCCAGCCCTCTTCCTACTCTCCCCAGGGTGGGCCCATTCTTGCCGAGAAATGCAATTCCCATCATTGTCCTTAGAAACTGCATCTTCTACTAAATCAGCGGTTGGTTGATCCCGAGATGATGCAGGGGTTATTAACTGGCTCAACTCTTCATTCAAATCAGGAATTATAGCAACATTCAAGTCAAGCTGGCAAGAAGAAGGGTTACTATGGTCTTCTTCTACAGTATTCTCTTCCGAGTGGTTTCCAGCAACAGAGCTCAGATTACTATGACTTATCTCAGCACTCTTTGTGAAACAATTGGCATCAGTGTGTCCCAAGTCACCAGACTCTGTGTAGGACACAATCCTAAAGCAGTACTCAGTGGAAGAATGCAAATTAGATATCAAAATGCTTTTTTGGCTTTTCGGAATGACACAATTAGGGTCTTTGCGGTAACTGTCTACTCCAGCCCTACAGTACCAGAGTTTGTGACCTCTCACATCTACTGATGATGCAGTCAGTAGGTCTAACAATACAATTACAACAGAAGAAACTGTCACTTCTTCAAAAAGGATTTTGCAGGCTGCCATCATCGAACCTTCTGGTTAAAAAACAACAAAGAAAAAAATCGTCAGATAAAACTTAGCATCGACTAATCTTTTAGTAAATTTTACAATGATGGCTTTTTTAGGACTCGCAGCTTTGGTGTGTGGAGTCACTGGAGTGTCATAGGGTTTATTTTGCTAAATAAGTCTTATCACAGGATTTGTATAGCTAAATTTTGAAACGTATGGTTTAATCAGCTTATTCGACAAAAGACAAGGTTATTTTTTGCATTTCATCCTTTTAAAAAGTGAAAGTATTATGCTTCATTAAAAATTTAGTATACTAATGTATATGTATAACACCAATAATTCACAACATTTTTTAATTACAAGCAAAACAAGTTAAGATAAAAAAGAAATCAAGATAAAAGATCACCCATTAAAATTACCCAAACTAGGAGTGTGAGATACTCCTTATGTCCCTTAAGATAAGAAGTGTCAATTTTTAATTACATTTTTTGTCCTATAACACTTACCAAATCCTATTTGGAATTACTCTATATCCCTATTTATTGCAACCTAGAACTTGTGTATTGGGTGTTTCAACAATTATCATCAATTAATAGCAAATGAAACAGCCTTCATTTGCCATTTTTTTTCTCATCGTGCTATGTGTTTTCTGTGGTACTGGAGATGGGGGGTCTTGGAAACAGCCTCTCTACTTTCTAGTAGGGGTAAGGTCTGCGTACACACACCCTCCCCACACCCTACTTTTGTGGGATTGAACTGGGTTGTTGTAATAGCCAATGAAAATATTAGATGATGATTCCCAATAGTAAATGTATAAGTTCCAACACATACTAATGGGAGACAAAATAAATGGTGTCTCCTAGTTACTATATTCTTTTAAAAAAATTCAGGAACGGAGAGAGTATGACTTTGGAGGATTCTGCACAATATGTATTATAGAAAAGAAATTGTAATTAAATTTTAGCCTATTTTCAGCGTGTTTACTTAAAGGGGTTGAACTCATGGCATACTTGTCAAAATGAGAGACCACGGCCGCCATATCCAATCCAACCCCTAATAAACATATAGCAAGCTAATTGTTTTTTAGAATTCGAGAAGTACCTTTATAATTAGGCACAAAACTATGTTTTTTGGCAAGCCAGTCATCAGCTTTTGCAATGGCAAGAGAGCAGAGAGATTGCACAGCACCGGAAACAGTAAGTCTACTAACAACGCCTCGAGCCATCATGGAAGAAATGCCATTCAAAGGACCCACCTCTTTTTCTAGTATTGTCTTAGCCTCTTTAACAATATTGTGTAGCTCATGAAATCTTGAAGTCCCATCTAGGAGCCTGTAACTCAAGTATATTCTAAAGCAGAGGATATCGGCCCGATGAGCATCTTTTGCTATAGAAAGTTGCTGCTTCCAAATACTGTCAGGTTTGGTAGTAACAGAATAAAAGCTCAAAACATATCACAAGAAATATAATCTACAGTTCAGGCTTTCAAAGAAAATTTTGAATTTTGATCCATGCAGTAATACCCAGGTAAGTTTCTCAGAAGAACAATAACATGAAATCATGTGCGTGTATCATCCACAACAAAACATGATCAGACTTCAGCTGGATGAAATTCCCTTCGTGTTAGTCCTCTAACTTCTAAATACCAGTTAGTACCCCATAAATTACTTCAAGACTCTTAAGTCACACCTAACCACTAGTTCATAAAATTATGGGGAAATTAAATCCATTCTTATAAAATCATATGCTGTGGGGATTGTCTTATGTGTTCTCAGTCCGAAAAACATCCTTTTTTAAAAGCTTTTATGTCCTAAAAAGAGTCTTATTTCAAATGAAGCTTATGTTTCTTGTAA